TCCAGCTTTGTTCTGCTTCTTCAAGATTGCTTTGGCTATTTGGGGTCTTTTGTGGTTCCATGTGAATTTTAATACCCTCTGTAATTTGTTGTGCAGAAGCTGGTCGATCAGCCCTCAACTCTTCTTCAGGAGGAATCACTCTATATGTAGGCTCATATTCTGTGTGTCTGTGGGAGATGAATTCAGGGCTTTCCTACACCTCTGTTTTGGTCTACCTATGCACTTTGAACTCTAATGCAGGTATTCATGAACAGAATTCAATCATAACTATTTCTCTCCAAGACTTTATGTTCTTCAGAAAAAGTGTCCCCGGTTTTTCAAAAAATTCTTTACATACAGAAAAAAATTACCTTCGCATGCTTTTAATAATTAATGTTAATATAAATACTGCCATCGATCGACACATATTTGGAACTCTTCCTCTGTGCTCTTTGAAGCACATTGGAATCCCTGTCTTTGAAGTAATTGTTTTGGAGAGGGAACACTCATTTGAATATAAAACAGATAAGGTAATGACCAGATTGGTGATGGTCTGGTGATTTTTTTTTTTTAAAGGTGAATGTGATTATTTTGAAAAAATGTTAAGTCACACAGCACTAACTCTTGTTAATAAGGTGAATAATTAGTTGAGTAATGACAAAATAATAAAGCATTTTTTTGTGGGTCTTGTAAACTAATTTTAAAAAGTATTTCTTTAGAGATATTCCAAAAATGCTCTGAGCTGTGGTAGCACCATCAGAATTAGTGTGCCTCAAAGGTCACCACTTTGAAGGCAAAGTCTCCATCTAGTGGATTAAGATTTGGAATTTCTTTAAGGTAAGTCATATATTATAATCACACTGCATAAAACAAAAATCCGTAACAACCAAACCAACTGTTGTTATCACTCATGGAGTTCATAATAAAGAGGCTTTAGCTACATATAATCAAGACATTTATATCAAGTTTGGTGGGTGCATAGCTGATTGAGATTTTTTTTTCCTCAGAGACTCTCTTTTTCTATTATGACTTTTTGAGGGGCACAGAAGATTACACCACAAGTATAGGAAATTCTTCTTAGAAAATAGGCACCGTGTAGGACTCTGCAGTCTCTAGGCGCTTAGCAAGGATCATCTCATACAGCAGCATAACAATTTTCAGCCACAAGAAGTCTGAATTTGACAGTGAATTTAGGAATTTCTCCTCTTCTTCTGAATCACTCAAAAGCAACAAGGAGAATAAGAAACAGAAGAAAAAAAAGAAAAAAGAAAGAAAAAGCTTCCTTAATGAAATTTACCATACCCTTTTTTAGAAAGGTTATAAGCTACCATCAACTGGGGGTATGAAGAAATGTCAAAAGCAGACATTCATGGCTCAGAGCTTCCCTTGACCATTTGATATAAAGTCTACAGAAGCTAAGATACAGGGTTGAAGGAGAAATTACAAAGAAAAGCCATACTTGCCAGAAGTACTCAGTGAGATGGAGAGGGGGGTCTGCCTTGTGAATTGTCCTACAGTGCTATTCTTTGACAAGGACAAATAAAGAAAAAAAATGAACGCGCACACACACAACCTCGTGCCTAAGGACAATTCCTATTGGCCTGGAATGTGGCCCTGGAATTCTCCAACCCCACTCCAACCTCCTGAAAGCAGCTCGTCCAGGAAGAACTTACTTCATTCAAAACTGAGTATTACTAGTTACCAGTAGGGCATCTACGGAAGAACTATATTAAAATATTCTTTAAAAAAAGGATAAAACAAATAGCAAACAAAGAACACTCATCAGAAAAATTTTAAAGCAAAGATAAAAACACATAATGCCATTAAACAAACAAACAAACAAACAAAATATATATATATATATACACACACCAGTCATGTCTTTGAAATAAGAGCACAAAGAAGTTAAAGAAAATATGGTGCCAAAAGAAGGAAGTGATATATAAGTTGGAAAATCTCAAGAAAAAAAAATCACAGACATGAAATCAGAAGCAGCACATATGAAGACAGACACTATGGAAAAAAAAGGAGCCAAAAGGAGAAATGGATGAAAAATTCAAAAGGAATAGAGAAAAGATGGTAGCTATGGAAGACGGGCATCTATCTTTTTCTCCTGTTAACTCAGCAGGCATCTAATGGGTATCTTTAAAGAAGAGACTCCAAATAATGGAACAGAAACAATATTTCAAGGTATAATTCAAGAAAATTATTCAGAAATTAAAGAAGACTTGAATGTACAGATTGAATGACCACAGTGTGCCAGAAAAAAACTCGTACAGATCCACTTACAGAATAATCAATAGCCAGTTATTAGATTTCAAGGATAAACAAAGAAAATTTGGGTCATTCAAACCAGAACCTCAGGTGAACTAGATGAGAAAAACCATCAGCTGGCCTCAAACTCTTTCCCATTAGCATTCCATTTTAGGAGCAGCGGAGCAACGTGTACCAATATTAATACATGAAGAAATAAGGTCACATCTAAGAACTCTACAGCTAGTCAACATAGACATATAGAGAACAGAGAACAGTTGAGAACATTAAATTAGCCAGGAAACATGGCTCCCGTGAACTCTTCTTGAACAAACTACATGAAGACAAACTTCAGGGGCAAAGAGATGAATAGAAAACTACGGCAAAAAGACTGGAGGCAAATTTTGACTCTGTTTAACCATGGGACTAAACCTAAAACAAATGTGGGTTCTGGTCCCTGACAAGGTAGTGAAGGGGAGCAGACTATGCCGCCCCAAAATATGTCACTTTGGCATAAGAGTTACTTTGAGCTGAAGGAGATTAAGCAGCAGAAAATGCAGAAAGAGCTCTGGGCCCCCCTCCTGTCGCCTATAAGCAGGGCACAAACTTCCCTTTGTGAAGGTCTTTCCCTTCCCCTCTGCTGCATCAGGAGGAGGAAAAACGGGCATCGTCACTGGAGACATGAAGGTGGTGCTGAGATGGGGCTGCACAAACCAAACTTCCTAAAGCAACCCTTAGCTCCCATTAGCTTCCCACAATTTACCGCCCCTAGGAGCCCAAGCCTCCTTTCCTTTGTCTGTCACTTCTCACAAATGTATCTCCCTCTGTTCAGATGGTATAGAAGCCCCACATTCTAAATACCTCTTTGAGTTACTAATAAGTTCAAATAAAAAAACAAACAAGAAAGAACAGCCAGAAACACTATGTAAAATAAGAGTCTTGAAGCAAGGACGTGTGCATGTGTATTTTATTTGTTCGGTTTTGTTTTAAATCATTATGATTAAAATAATGTAGTTCTACAGCATAGGAAAGCCTATGAATAAATCTAAATAGATACAGGAATTTAGTAAATGATAAAGGAGGTATTTCAAATCAACAAAAAAGACAGATTACTCAACACACTCAGCTGTGTAATCATCTGGAAAAACATGAACCTGGATCCTCACCGCACACATTGCATCAAAATATATTCCATGTGGATATTTTCATATAAAAAGTGAAACCATGAAAGTACTAAAGAAAATATAGGTAAAATTTTTAAAAATATTCTCATATGGGGGCTTATCTTACTAATTAGGACACAAAACCTGCAGCTATAAAAGATTTGTAAAGTTGACTACACAAAAATAAAAAAACTTGAGGAAAAACAAACATTAAAAAGATGTACAACAAACTGGGGAAAAAATTTCAATTCTTGTCATAGACTAAGGGCTGATTTTCTTTCTTTTCTTTTTTTTTTTTTTAAGGATTTTATTGGGGAACAGTGTGTTTTTCCAGGACCCATCAGCTCCAAGTCAAGTAGTTGTCTTCAATCTAGTTGTGGAGGGCGGTGCCCCATAGCCCATGAGGGGATTGAACTGGCAACCTTGGTGTTATGAGCACTGCACTCTAACCACCTGAGCTAACTGGCCACCCCAGGGCTGATTTTCTTAAAAGAATTAATTAATTCTTAAAAGAATTCCTCTTAGTTTATAGCAAAAAGCCCATCAAGAAAGGTAAATATGCATTGGGTTTTAAGCATATAGAACACCAAACATAAAAAGATGGTCAAGTTCATTAATGATAAAGAATGTAAAGTAAAACTACACTGTGATACCATTTTCACCTATCTGGCCAAAATAAAAACTTTTGGTAACACACTGTTGGGAAATTGAGGAAATAGGCACTCTCATACATTTATTTTAAGAATGTAAACTGGCACAAACTTCATCAAAATCAGTTTGATAAGAGCTAAAAAATTAGAATGCACATACACTTTAACCATACAACGCCATAGATTTGCACATTTCATGTCACATACACAAGATTACTTACTGCAGTATGGCAATATCCTGTATTTTCATCAACAGAGCACTGATAAATTAAGTAGAACCATATAATGGAAAATAATATAACCATTAAAAAGTAAACCTTTGGCAGTGTGCCAAGCAATGCTGCACAATTTGCTGTTTCCAAGAAAAGCATACGAAGAGGACGACAGCTATTCACCATCACACATTATACATTTTTTGATCCTCATTCTTGTGATCCTGAACACACTAGAAATGTAAAGATTTGATAATCAAACGTGATCAACCACCTGGAAAATAAAGGACTATACCTGCTTCTGAGTTGGAGAACAGTGTTCAAATGTCACATCCGATATCAAAGTGCAAAAGATATTTTGTAGTGCTGGTGAAACTGTAGCCTAAGGATCTTTTGAAAAATGGACTACCTGAAAGAGCAACCTGGACAATATCTATCAGGGCATTATTTTCCAAATACACTGCATCTCCCACTGCTGTCTCCAGCTCAGGGGGTCGCACAGTGTCTTTTGGAAACGGTGGCAACACTTTGCTTTCAAGACGGCAAAGAAATTCTTCTTCCACAGCTAGAAAAACAAAGAACTTGGACTCTGATTTCTAAAATTCTCTGCAACTAACATTCTGTTTTCTCTGTTCCATTCCATCCTTATAGTACATCCGAAGAATCGACATCCACGCACTATTCACACACAAACACACACGGAATTACAAACAGAAAAAGAGGTATGTCTAATGAATGCTTACCTGATAACGTGTTGGCTGATTGAGAATGCTGTTAAAACTGTGTGATTCAAAAACTCTTGAGTTAGACTGAGTGAAGAGGTTTAACTAGGAAAAAATACAATTAACCTAGTAAATTAGAATACATTCATTTGGAAATCAAAAATATAATCTACTTTCATCTCCTTGATAATATTTCTGGAGTCCACATTTCCGAGGAACATTTTGTAGACACTGAGTTTTATAGGTGATTTAATATATTTCCCAAGGTAAAAATTAATGTGAGCAGAACGCTCATGTTTATCAACATATTGGCAAGATGTACTGTGACAAGACCGCTTCGCCGGAAATAGGTTTTACAAAGTCGGCTCGTGCCAAACGTTAAGTGCTCCTGGGGACCTTGTATACTTGACCTTAATGTATTCACAGCACCTACAAGGCCAAGTTGCACAGAAGCGACTCCACCCCTACGTTCCTCTCCTGTCCTTGAATGGAAACACACCACAAGTTCAGAGGGCATCACTTAGTATTGTGTAACCCTAAAATATCTGCCCAAATGAACACGTCTTCCCAAGTATCTTGACCTTCTACTGAGTTCTAGGTTCACAACTTTGGAGAGAACTGGGCTAAAGAACGTTGGTAATCTTTTCTTTTCTCTCTTTCTTTTTAAGGTTTAACTTTGAGTAAGCAGGAAGAGGAAGCAAGTCCCACATGGTTCCCGTCTGTCCTTCTCAGATAGCGAGCAGGGCCTGCCTGCCTCTTATTCTTGGGCAAGTTGCTACCTATAAGGTGTGATTCAAAGGCAGGAGCCCCTATCTAAAAATATGTATTAATCTGCCACCTGCCTCCCCACCGTCATAGCTCAGGAAGCCGTGGGTGCTGGGGGCCTCACAAGCCAGAAGAACCTTGGCTGACAAAGTTAACTCTCCCAGCAGCCACTGGGGGTCAGTATGTGACCGCGGACTGAGGTTAGCTGTATAGGTTAGCACCAAAGATTTCTGGAGGCTCCTTTCTTTCTTCTAAAAAAGAAAAACAGAAACATATAACTGCTCCGATTTTTTTGCTAAATTCAATTCACAAAGAGTAGCTATGAATATGAGTAACATTAAAGAGATTTAAACAGCTCCGCACACAATTAAAAAAAATATAATCAAAATGGCAGTTTCTAACCAGGTATTAGAGACTGGGAAGCCAAGGGGCGTGGCTCCTGGGAGATCAGAGCTCAGCCTTCCTTCCACGTCCAGCAACCTCTCCGAGAAAAGCCTTCCTGCGAATGGTGCAATCCGGGCAGGAGAGGACACCCTGAATGCCTGAATGGAGCCCGTCTGCTCCCCTCACAGCCCTGACACAAGCCGTGTTTCCCTTACAGGGTCTAGGTAGTCCCATGCTACCTGAATGCCCTCCTTGCAACCTGACTGTTCATACTTCCCCCTTCTACATTATGACAACATCAGGAATGAAGTCAGTGAAATCAGTTACCGACAGAAAGATAACATTAAGGTGTGAGTGCCAGAGCTATGCGTTCCCATGCTTGCGAGGCCTCCTTTTAAAAGAATGAAGCCTCAGTTAATAAATCCGCAGAGAAACAAAGTCAAAGTCAGCAGTTGCAGGAGTTGCCCAAGGTGACAATTAGAGCCTGGCCCCTTTAAGAAACCCTGCAGCTGAGGGTGCCCCCCATGGGGAAGGAAGTATGGCAGTACCCAAGCCAGAGCGCAGCCAGGGGCAGGAGAGAGAGCTAGGCGGCTGAAGAAAACAGCTACCCCCCCGCACTGGCGAGCCCCTGTGACCTTGCAGAAGTGAGTTCCTAGAGCAGCTCGAGCAGTCTTATCTATAAAATGGGAATAATAGTTATACCTACCTCACAGCGTTGCATGAGGTTCAAATGTACAGCAAAGCACTTTGTAAACTGTGAATGAGGAAGGGCACTGATATTTGTTCAGGCTGGAACTTTCGACATCTCACATCATCCTCTCAAGAACCCTACGAAGCTTTCCCTTTCAGATGAGACAATTAAGGCTCAGAGTGACCACGTCATTTATCCATGGTACTTGCTAATAAGCCGTAAGCACCAGGATTCACACCCAGGCCTAACGCCCAGGCTCTCTTCCGTACATATACTGCTTCTCCCTGGGTACATAGGCGGTATTATTTGAAATCACGGCCCATCACTGCCTTGCAACCTAATAGCCTTAAGCGCCCATATCCAGGTCAAACAAAAAAAGGTTTGAAAGGCCACCTTCTTAAAAAATAAGATGTCAGGGTATATTACACATCTTGGAAAGGCACATGTATTTTAAAAAGTGAGAAATGAAACACAAATCTAGTCTTTTTCCCCAGCTTCAACTGACAAAAAATATCTACCTCTGCTCAAGAAGGCATGTACTTTGTGGAGATGACATTGCTGTCTCATGGATCCAAGGAGTACAGACCATTTTCGCAACTTTAAGCAAAATTTATATTTTAACCCCACACACACTGCTCCTATCTGCCTCGATCCCTATTCTTCGAGGTTCTGCCCATATCCTTCTGTCTCATGTACCAAGTCTATCTCTGAAAATTAAGTTCATGATAATCAGGTGTTATCACAAAACCCATCTTTGTTCATGAGTTTGACTCAATTGGCACAACACAAGGACACACCATTCTTGGTTACTTATAAAAGGGGTACTTATGATTAATATGTGAGGATACTCTGAGTCCTGTATCAATTTTATAATATTGAAGGAAGAAAAGAGTATTTAACCCAATAAAGGGTTTCTACAAACAAGAATATGGTAGAGGAGAACTATACACACAACCAAGAGAAAAACGTGAGATTAAAATTATTTAACTTCAGAGTAACAGCTATGAAGCATGGAACACACACAAAAAAGCCCTGAGTGTTTTCTAATAATACCTGTTCTGTTTTCTCTTAACAAGTTAAAGAGGTTTTTTGTTTGTTTTTAATCTGGTAGTTCACATGAAATTCTGACCAAAAGCAAGGCATAGACTAAGTGACTTCTTAAGACACTATGAAGATATTAAGTATTAGTCTATGAAAGACTATGGAATGGACAGTAACTTGCAACGTCTTCTAACATAAAAAAATACTGAACAAACATCAAAAGACAAGGAGAAAGACAGACCATTTAGCTTGCGGTCGTGGTGAGTTTCCAAGACCTACCCTGGACTTGGAGTTCCCCATTCCCATTTCTATGTCCTTCTGGAGCCTTCTCCTCCTGCATTTGGAAAAGTTAATGACCCGCATGATGAAATACACGAATGACTTTGGGCTGGGAACTAGGCTGAAGGGTGGAGGTAAGGTTTTTCCATCATCAAAATAAGACAGCCAAAGTTTTGAACGAGCAAACTTCCATTCTACATCACTGTCATCCTGTGTCACAAAACAGAAAAGAAATAACTCATTTTAAAAACTAAGTATTTTAGTAATTGATTCCAGTAGGGTCTTACAAAACCTTAAAACTTGTGCTTTTGAAATAGATAAGTGACATATATATGTTTGTCTGCATATCATCTCTATTGGCCTACATAATATTCCGAGTACCACTTTTATAATACCCATTTTTAAAAAAGTTTCTCTCCCATATGTTTCTGTCTGTACCCACTGAAATTTAACAAGAATTTCCTGCCCGCCATCCAAAAACAAGGCAACAACACAAGAAAAATTCAGAGTCAAGGATGAGAAGATGAATTCCTCCCTCCCCAACCAGCCAAGTGTGCGTATTCAACAAGAATCCCCCGCTCTCTGCCCACCCTCCCTCCTCAGCTGTTACAGATCCATCCAAGCCACACTGTAGATGCAGCATATGTACCCCAAGGGCAAAGAGGAAAATGGTACTCAGGTGGATGCACTTGGGAGTTTATGCGTCTGACATCACCAAAGGCCCTCAGTGGCTGGCTCCTGTCGTATATTACTTTTCATCCTCAGCGCTGCCCACGGTGATGGGCACAGGAAAGAATGGAGAGGAGGGGGCCACAGGCGGGGGGAGTTGGCTCACTCACTGCCCGCCTCCTAGGCGGCCACTGCCATACCCAGGCAGGTGTGCAGGGTACCACAGTTCTCATTTCTGGAGGACTTCACTTCTGCTTCGGGAACACTACGTGTTTCCAAAACACACAGAGAAATTTAGTGGACTTACCACACAGCGAAGCACTAGAGCTGAACGCTAAACTGGAGGACATGAGGAAACACGTACAATGATGAAGAAAGCTGCCAACCCTGCCCAACCCAAAGCACGAAGTGATTTCTAGCATTCCAAAAATTCTGACTGGTTAAGAGCATCATCAGCTCTCCAGATACCTCGTCATTCCTCTACCAGGATCTGTCAGGTGGTTGCTGGCTAACAGAGGAAGAACGATATCCCTACAGCCAATACTAGCCGCTAATTTCAGAACTTCTGAAATACACCTGAGCGATGATAAATTCATGGGACCCCCGCTGAGCTCCTAGAAGACCCTGAAAGGTGCCTGCCTATCCATCCAGATGGAAAATACGGAGAAAGGCCCAGGGTCCCTCTGTCTGGTATCAGCCTCTCTGTCTCCACGGGCTGGAGCTCCCCCACAGGGCACAGAAGCAGACATGCTATGCCATTTAAGACGGGATGGTAAGGACAGACCCCATGGGCAGGAAACAGGTTTACCTCAATTTCTTGGTATGAGCTGTTAATCATAGCAATTAGCATGTTGAGTAAAACGACCACCATGGTTACATTGTAGATTCCATACAGAACGTAGCCAATGTTCTCTATGAACTTGTGATCGTATTTGAGCACGACAGAAGTCACTTCCGACAACCCAAATATGGACCAAAACAAAGTCTTGAAACTTTCTTCCACACTGTTGAAAGAATAAGGTACACAGTAAGTAAATGAACACTATTCATTAGCAAAATATCAAAAGTAAATGCAAGTTAGGGTCTGAATACTGTACAGATGTAACATGCCATCATAAAATACAATCATCATAAACGCTGAGAATTGTTTTACCATAATATTTAATGGAAATTGTCCTTTCAAGTTTTCAGGAACTCATGATTAAACTGTGCCAATGCCTAGCTTTGCTGTATGGTATCATCACGTGAAAATTCTCTGAACTCAGCAGGGGAAAGCTGAAATCATGCCATAATAACTCACTCCTTTTTCCTAGAAGGATGAAAGTTTGGGGTTTGATTTTGTAGGGTTTAGAAATTTAAATCAGGTTTTCTGGAATAGAACAAGGTCGGAATTAAAATTACATACCCACGTCAAAAATGTATGCACAAACATATTCCTTGTAGCATGGCAGTAGGAAAGAATGAAAACAACCTAAATATCCATCAATGGGGGAGTGTGAAAATAATTCTGGGACATCTGTATGATGGGATACTATGCAGCCAGTTGGGAAAATGACGGATCTATCTTCATGTGTTTCTATAAGACAACAGCTGAGACAAAGACTAATGTGAAAAAATAAGCAAGTGTGAAACAGTCTACAATCTGAACAAAAAAGTGGGGCATACAAATACTCATATTCTCGTTTATGCAAAGAACTATCTCTGAAAATGCCCCCCAAAAACCTTTGCCTCTGGAAACTAAGGGGCATTGAGAGCCTGGGGTCCACGGGGGAGGAGGAGGCACAGGCACCTCTGCAGATGAATTTTTGTCACCAAAATATATTACCTAGCTAACACTTATGCTTGGTGGAAATGAAGAGGAAGCAACAGAATGAAAGATTCTTCTTCTTTTCGCCTCATTTATATCATCTACTTCCTGGTTCTTCCATCACAGCAATGAGCACTTAGACCCGCCCCAGACTAATTCCCTACTTGTATCAGGGAAGTGACTTTTGCCAATCAAGTTTGGCTGGTTTTGTCATATAACCCAGTTGTAATCCTTGGTCTGTGAATCGCAAGACTAATTCTTAAATTAAACAATTACATATGTTGAATTCCATTGCAAAGGAGGGGTCAAAGGTAAGTCCTTTTTTCCAGAGAAAGGTTTATGGAATCAGTGCTTTTTTGATTTCTTATATAACAGATTCTATATACATTTTTTAGTACTAGTGTGTTAGTTCATTCATTCAACAAACATCAATGGAGCACCTCCTATGTTTTACAAGTCTTTCTAGATCCTTGGGATGGAGGGTTGCATAAAAGGCTCCTGTTCCTACAGAGTTACTCTCTGTTATAAAACATTGGATTGTGTGACGTCACAGCACAGATGCCGGGAGGGGGCTAAGAAACGCTCTAAGCTCTTGGCTCCTGCCATTAATTTAACAGCATCACAAAATTGTCCGCCTTCTTCCTCCTTCTCTTTGGCAAGCCTTCCCGCCCCCACTTTTGGGGAGAATCTACGTGTGTGGGGAGAGAGGGATGGTGAAAAGGAGAGGATGCTGGCCGGTCCTGAGCTCCTACTGCGGGCAAGAGGCTGCACACAAATTACCTTACGTCCTCATGATGGCCTGATTTCAACTTTTAGTGCTTATTTTAAAAACAAGGGAACTAACGGAGAAATGGTAAGTAGCTTGGCCAAACGCCACAGCTAAGAGCACAGGAGAGCCAGCATCCACTCCAGGTCCGCCTGGTGTCTGAGCCGTCCTTCCCATGTATCGTGTTGCCAGTCTTCACAGAAAACCGTGAAGAACGTGTAAGCCATAAAATGAGCTCTCCTAGAGTTCAAAGGGGCAGCGTTGCATGCAGGATCTCCCTGTCCTTCCCCTACTGGGTTCAAACATATTTTTTAATCCATTACAAGCACAGTCAGTCTCAGCTGTCTTTCCCCCTTAAGACCTGCTCTATATTAACTATTTGGAAAAATTCATTTCAAACAACTTAGATGTCTGGAAGGGCTCTTATTTAGTCTCCAGAGACCTTTAGTTTCCAGCTGTGGCGTTACAGGGTGCAAAGGGAGGCAGGAGGGGCTTATGATGTCCCCGCCTGCAAGGACTGCAATACAGAGGGAGAGCCCACCCCCGTGACAACTGAACACGGATGGGTGAGAGCGAACCTCACAATCCCGGATGTCTCCATGCTGAGGGAACTTAAAAGGACAAAGACTGAGGAAGCTTAATCAATAATCAAGGAAGACTGCCTGGGGGAGGTAAGTCACCAGTGCAGAAACCAGCAGCAGGATTAAAGGAAGGAAACAGTATTACCATTACAGTGGGCTGTACACATTTAGCTAGAATTTCTTCTTACTCGACTCCTTTACTGATTCATGCTACATTAAAATAAAGCCAATGCTTCTTTTTTGAAATAGCAATTGCTACAAAAATGACAAAACTGAATTGAATGTCATACAGAATGTCAGAGACATCCGGTATTACAAATGTGTTACCCAACTCTTTCAAAATCGCCAGTTTCATCTAGGATTTTTCCAAATTCTGATCTGTGCTGTGGTCAAATGCTCACTAGGCCCAAAGAGCGGTGCCTCTGGAGCGACGTAACCACACACAGGCACTAACTTATTTATTTTTATTGGGGAGCAGTGTGTTTTTCCAGGACCTGTCAGCTCCGAGTTGAGCAGTTGTTTCAACCTAGTTGTGGAGGGTGCATCTCAGTGGCCCATGTGGGGATCGAACCGGCACCCTTGGTGTTATGAGCCCTGCGCTCTAACCAACTGAGCTAACCGGCCGGCCTGCAGGCATTAACTTTTTAATAGATGTTTTTTGGGGGTTTTTTCTGCTCTTAAAAACATCTTTACGACAGTCACTGAGATTTTTTTCTTTTTTTTCATTGTATCTTTTTTATGTCTTACTTACGTGGTAAAAGCAGCATTGACTTTGGCCCCAAGGTAGTAAGAATAAAGTATGAACATGCCAATCATAAAGGCAAGAAAGACCATAATAAAGAGGACCATGAACTTGAAGATGTCCTTCACGGTCCTGCCCAGAGAGATCTGCAAGGGGCCAAAGCTCTCATTCGCAGGCAGGATGTAGGCGATCCGGGAGAAGCTGAGCACGACGGCGATGGCGTAGAGGCCTTCAGATATGATCTGAGGGTCAGAAGGGAGCCACTTATCTCTGGCTAGAAAAAGAGAGAGATGAACAGTGAACCTTCCATCCACTGCTACCTATGCAAAATCAATACCGTAAATAGGAGCTATTTTGTGGGTAGGTGGTTGATATCTCAGTGGAAACGACTCTAGATTTAATTAATGGTCTGGGCACTATTGCTTGTGTTAAACCAGAAACAGATGATTTCTACATTCATACGAATTCTTTCAGTGGTGGGAACGCTATTATAAAGATACTAAGCTGATTGCACATTGAGCAGAAACAGAATGAAGTGCAAAAGATGAAGCAAGAGGTCAAAACTCTTCATTAGACACAGACTGAGTCAGAATGACAAAACACCAGACCTGACTGATTTGCCCCCTTTGTTACTAGATTTATTGATCAGCCAGTTTGTCATCCTACAGGCTCAGTTGGCACAAACTTATTTTCCATATTTGGTGGGGAAATCAGTTACTCTCACAGATTATGCAGTAAATTGTCATCTTACGAGGAGTGAGAATGTCACTGAACCACAATGGTGCTGTCAACAGGATATCTGAGCATGATATAACTTAGTCCTGGACAATGTAAACTACTATTGAGGTGCAAAAATTTTGGATATTGATTCAAAATGAGGACCCTAACATCCCTTTCAAGGTCACTTAGCAAGTTCACAGCAGACTCTACCCATTTCCTTGGAAGGTCAATGAAACAGAATGTGGTTAATTTTGTGCAAACCTATGTTTAATATGTATTGGACACTGCTTTCAATGATCCTATTGATGCTATCATCCTCTTTTTAGAGATGCAGAGACCAAGACTTAGAAAGGTGAAAAACTTGATCAAGATCACACACATAATAAGTAGTGCAGCCTGAATTCACAAATTTCCCTCCAGATGAGTCATTAAATATACATGAATACATTTAAATAAATAGGTTATTGTGACAGTCAAGATACATACAACACAAAAATGCAATCTCAGTTAATTCTTTAACTATAAATGGTGGTCATTTGTTCAGTTGATCTGGCCTCCTCTTTGCTTGCTGACAATGAGAGATACTGAGTTTAAAGTTTACAATGTGTGAAATGTACACCTTATATAATACTTCGGAGCAGACACCCAGCCTTCTTCACTAGCAGTAACAGGCTGCTTGTCCTCATCACAATGCAAGCCTTAATTTCACTTACAAAGAGCTATGCTTCACAATCAGAACACATTTAAACTCTGTGCCTCAGTTTCCTTATCTGTAAAATTAAGGTGAGACCCTCATTTCTGAAGTATTTTCCAGATTGGAGATTTTACAACTATATGCACGTGTGCCAACTGTGGTTCCCCAGCTTGGCCGCAGGGGGAGGGAGGCTAACATTACTTAACGTGGGTATGTGCTGGGCAGGACAAGCACCAGGGTCCTTGCACACTGGGTATCAGCAGGCATCCCTGCTCTCATGATTACAGATGTGTGGCATCAACTCCATCCCATGCCACATGGAGGAGGAGCACAACACCCTCTCCAAGATTTCTGTAGGTGCGCAGAGCTTACATTCTCATCCCAGTCACTGCAGCACTAGGTCACTCCTACTTCCTGCTCTGCTGAATGTTTCTGCCCCTCTCCTGTTCAGTGGGTTAGCACCTATTACTATTTTACCTCCGGGAACCCATGCTCTCAGGGGCTCATCCTTCACATCAAGCAGTTTATCAAGCTCTTCCCCGCCGCCTACCCGCGCCCCGCCCCCCCATTAAGACGGTTCCATGTCCTGAGAGTATATAATAATTACGTTGTTAGGCTTAAAGGTAATTTTCTCCCACCTCGCAGCACCTTCTTTTTATAGATGTGAAAACAGGCACAGAGAAGTAAATTAACTTGAGTGAAGTCCCACAGCAAGGGAGAGGCATGGCCTGGATACGAATCCAGGCCTGAAGCTCATCTCTCCGCACTGCCCAGACACACTCAGCGCGCCTCGCACAGTGAACACACTCTTCGCCGGCATTTCCTTCCACAGCGTGGTGCCCAAGCCCCTCCTGAAGCATAAGCGGGCCCTGCGGCTACTGACTTACCGTACGTGAAATACTGGATCTCGGGTGGGAGGGTAACTTCACTGAGGTCGCTCTCTTGGACGTAAGTGTCCACATACTGCTGTGCTTTCGTTGCCTGAAGGAAAGCTAGGAACCTGGCGGTGAAAGCGGCGATAAAGATGGACAGCATCCCAAAGTCCAGCACATTCCACAGCTGCAAAATGTATTCCCTCGGTCCTTCCAGCCAGAGCTCCTTACACTCGGACCACATCATTCCTGCCCGGACACACGGGGGATGCACGTTAGGCCTCTCGGCTTAGGCTGAGAAGCTCGTATTTCGTCCACCATCAGTCCCCGTACGTGAAGCGCCCGCTCACGGACGCCCTGGGCAGCGTTAAATGGAAGAAGACACTTCCACCTGAGGAATGAGTCACTCCACCAGGTTAGAACTCAGAGAAACACACTTCGATGTGTGCCGCCAGAAATGGCGCCACTCGTGCTGAGGGGGTGAGGGCAGGGGCAGCAGGACATAGGCCAGGAAGGCTCTCCGAGTCAAACGATTTTGTCCCATGAGACGTTTGGAGGACAGGGGAAATTCACCTTTAAAAAACTACATTGGTTAATTACCAAACCACAGCGATTACTGGAGAAGCAGCCCCAACACGGGCCTCTCACGGTACACTTTTAACAAGAACAGTTTCCCCGTAAGCCAGGAACACTTACACCATTGCACTTCCCACTCTCCTCATTCCAGCTTCACGCTGGGGAGGCGGGCAACATCCCTGGAAACAGGAGAACCTTACATGGAAGGCCTTAGCATGTTATGAAGAAACTGAAAGCAGGAAAAGCCCATCTGGGGAGAAGAGAACAACACAGTCCCTGTCTTGACTGTGTAAGGAGAAAATATTGTGGACGGTTAAAAAGAAGTGAAATGGCTCAGAATAAAATTTATAAAATAATTACTTGACCCAGATTGAGGCCACAGGAGTGAATGAGAGAAAGAACCAACCTATTAAATCAGGGCCTGAGAAGATACCACGAAACACGCTGGGTGACATAGGGAGAACATACAAAAGTGACTCTGGATTAGCGATCAACAGATAAAATGGTTCCAATTTTCTTTTTTTCTCACATTGCTTATCATTTTTACTTTACCATACGTGTAGCTACTCAAAACAGGCTATTGTGAGGTGAAGTAACAAACGTTCTGAAAATGGACACGTTCCTAAAATCTCTGAAACTAAAACAATATAAACATTCTTTAGTCATCAGTTAATAGCCACTGAAATATTTAAATTTCAAAATATTTGATCATCACAGTGAGTCACATTAAAAAGCTTACATTTTATTCAATAATTAAAGTTAGATTTCTGAAACATTGTATATTTATTTATACTAGGCTCATATTACTCCCCCAAAATTTTATTTGGTGTTAAGGGATACCTTATAGATTTACGTTGCCAAATTATTCTATTCTTTTGTGATTCTGCTCCTCTAACAATGGTGATGTTGCCACCACATTATGTACAGTAACATTTTAAATAGAAAATTGTGCTATAGACCTTGTTTTTGGTAGAAGTTAGATTACTTAAAATAAAAGTCTTACCAAGAACCCAGACCATAATCAGCATCTCCGTCCACGTGAACTGGGTGGTTTTCACCCTGAAGATCTGTTTGGGATAGTCGATGACGGTGACATTTGGCAGCGTGGCGATGCCTTCAAATCTGTCGGAAGCGTTGAACACAAGCAGGCCCAGAAAGATGATAAAAGAAGCAGCGTGAGCCACGAACTTCATGAAAGGGCTTCGCAGGACTTTCCCCAGCTATAATAAGACCAAAAAAAAGAGGAAACTTTTACTTGAAAAAGTCTGGCTTCCACTTATGAAAATTACTATACAGGATAAAAGAAAAACAGGGAAAATGAGAATATTTTCAAAGCTTTGCTTCTGTTTTGGAAGAGCTATACATTGTGAGAATTACTTCTTTTAGGGGAATGTATACTCCAAACATAATTCACACCTGTTTCCAAGTATCCGATTTGTCTTAGGATATATTGCACTAACAGATGCATTTCTGGAAAGCATGGGTGATATACTGGTTATTCTTATTTTTGCATTGAAAGACCATGCAAAGTCAAGGTTTTTAGAGTCCAGGAAAAGAAACTCCACATTTGTAATGTATAATTCTTTATTGCTTTATAATTGAAATATTGTAAGTTTGTAGAGTCGTTCATTTGTAATTCAAATGTATTGATGTGTTTGTAGTGCATTAAACCCTTTAAGATTAAAAAAGAAATCTTGCTGCTACAGAAGTAAATTTTAGTTCTCACGTCTAAATATTCCAAAATCAAGTTGTGCTTTGTATGACAGAAAAAAGGCAGAAAATATTATAGTCCAGACAAATATTTTATCTGTTACTATCCCAATTAGAAGAGGGACGTACACAATGATTAAAACCTCTAAGTAGGTTAACTTAATTGACGATCATCCCTGAGTTTGGAATATCATATAAATAGTACAAGAGCATTTCTAAAGTTCAGTTTATAATTATTTTAAGGTAACGCCTTTAAAATCCCATGTGGTAGGATGTCCTTAAAAGCCCAATGTTCTAGGAGAAATGAAAAACAATTTTTCCTGTCCCCAGGGCTTCCACGGTCCACAAATTAGGCACATTTGGAAGATTTATCAAATCTGTTCTCCATTCTACATACTCAGACCCTACCTTCCAACTTAGTCTGTGACCTTAAAAAGCGCCAAGATCACATTTAAAAGACTGCAACTTCAAACTAATGTTTTTGTATGTCCTGAACCTTACCTTGATGTCAACAAATAACCCAAGAATGTCAGGCATTTCCAGCATGGACCATGAATGCACACAGATGAATGCATGTTTTCCATATTAGATACAGGAAAATGAATGCCACATTTACATATCACTTTGCTGTCGGGCAGCTGCAGCGGGCACATTTGGGGTAGCTCTTTCACAGCACTGACTGATTTCTTGGGAGTTGCCAAGTCTCCAAAAGGTTGGTCTTTTAAAACTTTAAATAACACGAGAAGAAAGCAGCATACCTATCCTAAAAATGGGCGACCTGTGGATAAATCTTGCTGTGACTTTTCACCATCAGACAGGTGGTGTTTAGCAGGTATAAATGTGGGTACAAATGACTAGTTTGCTCCTTTCCCTTCTCTGCTGGGTGGAGAGTTCACCACACCATCAGCTGCACCCGTAGGAGAGACGAGAAAAAGGGAGTGGTTTAAGATGCCTAGTCCAGACCCGATGGAATATTTTCACTGATTAAGCTGCCCCTAAGAGACAAACGCTTATAAACCTGAACTCTCCAATTCCTTTTCCCCAGAGTGGGAAATGATTCTTGCTTTAATGCATGCTCTCTCATATTACTGATACTTATTAGTTTTTAGTGTTTATGTATTTGAGGAATCTTAAGGTACTTTTCCATGACCTGTAACAAAGGAACTCAAGTCATCAAAGCTGATCAAAATGACAAGCTTCCTGCTTTCAGTTGCATGGGCAGCTCAAGCGTAAAGTGTGATGGATGAGTATTCTTGCACATCCTGGTGCCTGAGGACCAGGGCTCTGCGGGGAGGCTGCCCAGCCAGAGGGAGGACGGATTTCCAGTGTCATTCGGAAGGGGCCTTGACTCATTTTGCCTGAAACTGCCTCTGATTTAAACCAAACCAGGTTTGGGAATCTAACAACAGGATTCAGGGATCTCCGATGAAAGGACCTGGCCTTCTCCTGGAAGCGCCCTTTGTTAACCTAATGCAGGTTCTCTCAGCATGACTAGCACCCCTTCCCACATCTTGTGCAGGGTCTCTGAGGCACAATCAACTTGACTGTATTGGCAAGTTGAGAGAGGGAGAGAGGTCATGAACAAAATGATTCAAGCAAAATGAAATAAACAAGCAATCTAAAGAAATCAAAGGCCCCACACCCAAATTCTACATTTATTTTCTTCTGAAGAAGGAAGAACTCGGGGAACCCCGACACGCACTTTTGCGAACTTTGGGTAAGACCACACTTGCAAGAGTGGGCTTAAAACACTCAGCCTCGGATGGCGTCGATGGGTTAAAATGAGCGCCCTCCAGGTCTCAGGCTGTTTTCTGGCGCCCTCCCCTAGGCCAGCGCAGCCCACTCTGTTTGCTAAGCTGTGCAGACAGCCAGCACACATGCTACTTCACTCTGGCAGCTCTCCCCGTGTACCATGGGGACTCCAGCTTAAAAGCCTGATTATTCTATGCCTGCAAATGGGATCCATCCCACCGGCAGGCACCAAATCCTTTCTCATCCTTATTTGAATTGATCCGGTCATTAAAAAGCAGAGCTCGTGTTCTTGAGTCAATTAACATTCAGGGTAAAGCCGATAAGAGCCTTAAGTAGGAAGCTTTGCCCTTTTTTCTCCCAAAAGGACACGGTACATGAACCATGGAGGAAACATGTAAAAAAGCTGTACCCGGCTGCAAGGGGCGAGCCAGTAGCCGATGGCGAGGAACGGAAGGCCCAAGGCCACGACCAGCACAACCAGACACTTGATGGCGATGGTCTGTTCCCGCAGGCCTGAGAGGTTCTCGTACCAGATGGTCAGGAGCTGCTGCTGGCAGTTGGGGTGGGCCACGAACTGTCGGGAGGGAGAGAGAGAGAAAGAGGAGGTGGGTTACCGCACCACTGTCGACAGTTCAACTATTGAGTGTGTGTGCCGTCCTAAATATATTAATGCACATTTCCCCAGAATACAGGCACTGGAAGGTTCTGGTAATATTCTCCTTTACCATCCCTCCATTTTTCAAAAGTGCTTCAGCGTCAATAGAAGAACTAAAGTGGAAAAAAGAGGGTAAAACTGATGTCAACCTGACCTATAATTCTGTTTGAAACTCTCCATGCTTTAGACTCCTCTCTGGAATCGGGGTGACATACGCTTTCCTTTGTGGAAAGGTGGTCCTGTCTTGCTGTCTGCCTGCTTACTTGTCATTCAGTTCAAATGGAAAGAAAAAAAAGAAGTTATTTGCTGTATTGTAGATTACAGCTAAAAGAGAAAAGTGTTAAGTTCCATGAACAACTCCTGAAATGCTACATGTGAAAACATACACATGATATGGCCACAGCAAATTCACAAAAGATTTGCCACAAGACAATGAACCTGCAGGTGTTATGCTCGGTCCATGCTGCACTGGTCCTCAGAGCTGGCGTCAAATGCCACTTCCTATCTATTGCAGTGCTCTGTCCTCTTTTTATTGCTTCCTCTATCATAGGTCAAAAAAACCACCAACATTTATTTCCAGTGATAATTTTATAACTACAATTCTAATCAGGAAAAATGAGCAAATTATACTTATTTCGTCCCTGCCATTGTATTTTATTTTGCCGTCTGATTTTGTTAACTCATCTGCCTGCATCTACTTAGAAGAACTGGGACTTGTTTAAGGTCCTGTCCTTATTCAGGTAGCAGAGTGTCCCTGTCATCAGGCCCATGGAAAGGTCCCTACACCAAAAGGTGCAAAGGTGCCCATTTGTAGCTGGATCTGCCTTTTTTTGAATGGCCAGGTGCACTCCGCCCAAGCTCAGGGATTATTCGGGGTCATTCACAAATCAACTATGAGCACCAATGTATTTTTTTAAAAAGAGTGTTTAGTGATCCAAGGGTCAAGGTGTTGCTGTTTGCTAAAACACAGCAAACAGTCATGGTGAACCTGTTAGGAAGTACCTGTGAGGTGGCTTTTGCAAACTCTGAGAAGCCGAGAGCAGCCACAGCTCCCACCAGGCAGGGGGCTCACCTTGAACCAAGGTACCGACCCTAACGATTCCTAGTAACTCTGGGCAATCCCGCAAGTTATCTGGCTGTTTATTAAGAGCACACCTACAGGGCAATGAAGAGAATTTCATGTACCAGTGTATAACTTCCCATGAGTGCTATTAAAAACAAACAAACAAACAAAAAACCCAAACCAAAAATAAAATCTCATCCCCCAGGGTTGGCAGGGAGGCACAAATTCCCCAGATCCTCACTCTCGTCGCCGGTGTGCCTGCCCTCTGGAAGCCCATGACGGCCACTCTGGTGGCAGCCGTGTGCCACACTGTGCAGAAGTTGACGACCCGTCGACAGAGGTGGTTGAGGGTGAGTCTACAAATACTAGATTTGAAATACTTAACCAATTTTTTTTTCAATAATACAAACTGGTAGGGGCTGGGAGAGTTAAAGTACTGAACAGAAGATGCTACCTTTTCTTGTTTGATGAGCTTACTGTGAAAAAGAGTATTTTATCTTGTAAGTTCCTTTCAATTCAGTTATAAAAAAAACCCCAGGTCCCGAGGCCCACTGGTCATTGCCAGCTACAAAGCATATATGAGATCTTCTTTCCAAGCTCAAGATTCTGTCGCTCTTCCCAAGTTCTGGTTTTGGAGAACAATACTTCAAGGTCAGTGCAGTCATTATTTGAACTCATGATAAAGTGTGTGGCCATCCACGCTCAAGGCTGAAGGCTTCCTGGGGTCTGTGTGGCAGTTTCCTAGGATTCTTGTTAAAACCTTTCCAAATGTCCCCTTCTGTCCCTATATCTATTGGATCATTTCCTTCCTGCTTCACCCCTCCTTCTGTGGGAAAAATCCGCCTCTCCTCTACAGACCCTAAATGTCTCATTCATTCATTCATTCTTCAGGATGTTAAAAGCCTGTCGCATGAGCCAGGCACTGGGTATCTGGCTTAGGCATTTGGTACAAGAGGATGAAAACAGGGGCATCAGTGTTGCCCTAAGTGATGAGTGGTCCCTGGTTGAGGGCACACAGTAAGCTATCAATGAATATGAAAAAAAGCTATGATAAAGGAGACCTGGACTCCACATATCTGCCCAGATAAATAATCAGTATTGAAAACAGTCT